CTGGCCCAAAAGGACCAAAAATCGTATGTTCTCCCTGATATGTGGACATTGATCAAGGGCAAACACAACAAGGAGATTGGACTGTTAATACATGATAAAAGCGAGAGCACACAAGAGAGATAGAGGATAGGTAAGACACCTAAAAAATTAGCTTAGCAGTTGTTGCCCTCACTGTAGAGGAAACTAAAGCAGATACCTTAAAGCAACTGAGGCCAATAGGAGAAGGGACCAGGAACTAGAGAAAAGGTTAGATCAAGAAGAATTAACTTAGAAGGTAACACCTTATAGTACAGGAATTAATGCGAGTCAATCCCTGTATAGCTATCCTTATCTCAACTAGCAAAAACCTTGTTCCTTCCTATTGTTGTTATTACATCTCTCTTCAAACAAAATTGAATAAGGGCAAAATAGTTCTACTGGGTATGAGGGGGTGGGGAAGGAGAGGGGGGCGGAGTGGGTGGTAAGGGAGGGGGTGGGGCAGGGGGGAGAAATGACCCAAGCCTTGTATGCATATATGAATAAAAAAAAAGCCTTAGCTTTTTATTTTTATATTCCCATATACTTATTACAGTGCCTATACAACACAGAGTGAATACTTAATACATGTTTGTTGAGTAAGTTAAATAATGAATACAACTTATATTGAATACTTTACTATTTCATCTCCTTTGTTGTCATTTTTAAAAGTTTATGGTAGTATCTATCTGATTTCTATTATATCTTGGAGTCAGCATTTTTTCCAGAAACTCTTCTAATTTTGTATTATATTAAATAGGAAAATTAGACTTATCTTAAACAGAATTTTATTTTTAAATATATTTTTAGTAATTTTATAAAATGGAGTGATTTATCCAAGCATGATGGTGCATGACAGTGATCCAGATGGAGACAGGAAGATCGTGAGTTCAAGGCTCGCCAGGGAAAAGTTATCATGATCCTATCTCAAAAACATAATAAAAGCAAAAGGGCTGGGGGCATAGCTAAAGTGGCAGAGCACTTGCTAGCATATGAGAGCTCTTGGGGTTCAATCTCTAATACTACAAAAAAAATTAATGATAGGAGATAGAAAAGAATGATAAGCAAACATGAAAATCTTGATATTGCAGATTAGTGTAACATTAACTAAAATAACTGTCACTAGGACAGCAGTGCTTGTGACCAGTTATAACATAGTAGTAACTGCTAGGTCCTGAAGGACCTGCTCCTGAGCAGGAGCAGGGCTAAGTTCTGTAAAACAGAGAGGCTGGGAAGAGTGGACCTGAGGTTACCTGCCAGATTTCTCATGAATTCAGAGTAAATCTAACATCCCACAGATCCACGTTTGTGTGTAGATGACTTTTATTGCAAAGAACATGCAGTTATTGAAAATAAGTGACTTTTAAACACTAAATCGGCTTCCTTTGATTATTGAGATGACTTCTAGCTGATAATTCATATGCTCTTGTTTGACTCCGGGAGTTTAGTGACCTCTAAACTGAGACCCCACCTGCAATATCCCTAGTATTCTATCTCCTTTGGACACTACTTTAGTATGTGTACCATGTTGTAGTGAAAAATACTCTTTTCTGAAAACTAAGTAAATCGGACTTGGATGACACTTAAATTATCTCACACCCACATGTTCTGTGACTCTTACATTTACTGTTTGATTAATAGTCTTACTTGTGATTCTACTGAGAGGTAATAGAGTTAACCCATAGCAATAATTTGAGGTTTAAATCTTTGACTCTCTGAATTCATACTATTTCATTATTTTTTTATTTGTTTTGATAGATTATTTGTTCCATGTTCTCCTTTTACCATTAATATTTCAGGCCTCAAATGTACTCATTCCAACCCTTCTCCTTCCAGATGAGATGAGTCTTTTAGGAACACCCACTAAAGGTACTTTATGTCAAAGAAGCTACTTTGTGAGCCATAATGCATTGTGTGAGTGTTATGCCATCATGAGTCATGATGAAAACCTCTTGATGACATTGCTTCAAGAATATTTTGATGATGAAATTGCTATGGGATATCTTGGGACACCAGCTTTTGGAGAAGCTACTTGGTTGTATAAACAGTTTCTGTCATCTAGAAAAGTGTTTTCTTTACCCAGGAGATTTTAAAATGTCTTCCATTTTCTTTTTTTGTCTTTTTTTTGTTTGTGTACTAGAGTTTAACTCAGGGCCTCACGCTTGCTAGGGCGCAGTTGGCTATTACACTTGAGCCACTCTGTTCAGTGGCTCAAGTTTTTTGTTGGGATTTTTGAAGATAAGATCTCTCAAAAATATTTTCTGGGGTGGCGTTGAACTGTGATCCTCCTGATCTCTTACCTCCTGATAGCAGATTTACAGATGTGAGTTACTGGGTCCAGCCATTTTCTTATTTAAGTATTAATGTACACTTGAACTATTGTCCACATTTATAAGAGCAACCTAATTTAAAACATAATCAACTTCCACTTGTGTTTCTAACATTAGACCCTGCCTTCTCCCATGTGCCTGTTTATGATTGCCTCCTAATTCAGGAAACTTTTTTCTAAGTACTTAAGATGCCAAATTGTTAAAAAAGAGAGAAAGAAGAAGACGAAGGAAGAGGAGATGAAGGATGATGATAATGATTAATAAGAAGATGAGCCTACATGGCTACTTAAAAATCAAAAAAAGAAGGGGAAAATAGTATCATGAAAACTCACCTAAAGTCCCTTCCTTTTCCTCTGTTTCCAAGCAGAGAAAGTTGAACCTATCTCCCTTTCTTGCCCATGAATTGGGAATTTCTGTATCTTTTTTCCTTCAGGCTTCTCTTAACCTGAAATGCGTATATTGGGGAGGGAAAGTAATGGGCAAAACGTGGTCAGTAAAGATATAGGACTGCTTAAGTAGCATATTGAAAAAAGATAAGCAAGAAAACAAATGGAATGGAAGTAAGAGTCTACTCTTCACTAACCCTAAATAAAGTCAAATCAGACAATTAGAAATGAAGCATGGCATAGCCCTGGGTTAATCTTCAAACCTACCCCCCCCACAAAAAAAAAGAAAAAGAAAGAAAGGGGCCTAGTGTCCTATGGTTACAGTACTTTAACTCCAATGTTTCATAAATAATATTGGAATCTTAAACTCATCTTCTCATTTTATGGGAGAAGAAATAGGAATCCCCTAAGGTTTATATATTGCCTGAAAGCCATTCAAATAGCAATTACAGAGCTTGCCTGAAGCTGCGGTCCTCTGATTTCCTCAATTTCTTATTAGTAGAAGTACTTGATGACTTGTGGTATGAGTGGGTATTTGCCATTCCCTCCCAAAAAATAGTATGAAATGTAACTCAGTTCTCTTGTTTCTAGGGATTACTTGCCCTTCCAATTTAAGCTCTGATTCTGACTATCTTATTTTAAGTGTTAGTGAAGATTCTTCTTTCACTCCATTTGTTTTCTTGCTCATCTTTTTTCAATATGGTACTTAGCACTCCTATATCTTTTTGTTTTAGTTTGGTTTTTGGTTTTTTGTTTGTTTTTTGTAGTACGGGTTTGAACTCGGCCTACACCTTACCACTTCCACCAGCCCTTTTTTGTATATTGATGAGTTTTTCAAGATCAGGGTCTCATGACTATTTGCCCAGGCTGGCTTCAAACTGTGATCCTTCTGATCTCTGCCTCTTGAGTAGCTAGGATTCCAGGCGTGAGCCACTGGTACCCAGCTAGCAGTCTTATATCTACTGACCACTTTGACTCATTGCTTCCCCTCCCCCAACTCTTGTAAATGAGTTGCAATCTACTAGAAAGATGTATTTTGAAAGTCAACCTGCGACCCTAAAATTTCAGGTTTGTTCATTGGCACTTTGGCAAGTTTCTTAACCTGTCTAAGCCTGAACTTTCACCTTTTAAGTGGGGATGATAATAGCTACAACATACTATTATAATGACAAGTAGATGAACCAAGGTTATAGGAAGTACTTACTTTGGTACATGGCATAAATCAGAGGCTTTAATAAATATTTGTGAAATAATAAATATACTATGATGTATTTGATCTCCCCATCGGAGGGTCCCAACATCCATGTAGTCAACTACATTTTAGGAAGGTCATATTCTTGGTTTTTCCTTTATTATTCATATGTGCATACAAGGCTTGGGTCATTTCTCCCCCCTGCCCCCACTCACTCCGCCCCCTCCCTCTCCCCCCCACCCCCTCAATACCCAGCAGAAACTATTTTGCCCTTATTTCTAATTTTGTTGTAGAGAGAGTATAAGCAATAACAGGAAGGAACAAGGGTTTTTGCTGTTGAGATAAGGATAGCTATACAGGGCATTGACTCACATTGATTTCCTGTGCGTGTGTTACCTTCTAGGTTAATTCTTTTTGATCTAACCTTTTCTCTAGTCCTGGTCCCTTTCCTATTGGCCTCAGTTGCTTTTAAGGTATCTGCTTTAGTTTCTCTGCGTTAAGGGCAACAAATGCTAGCTAGTTTTAGGTGTCTTACCTATCCTCACCCCTCCCTTGTGTGCTCTCGCTTTTATCATGTGCTCAAGTCCAATCCCCTTGTTGTGTTTGCCCTTGATCTAATGTCCACATATGAGGGAGAACATACGATTTTTGGTCTTTTGGGCCAGGCTAACCTCACTCAGAATGATGTTCTCCAATTCCATCCATTTACCAGCGAATGATAACATTTCGTTCTTCTTCATGGCTGCATAAAATTCCATTGTGTATAGATACCACATTTTCTTAATCCATTCGTCAGTGGGGCATCTTGGCTGTTTCCATAACTGGCTATTGTGAATAGTGCCGCAATAAACATGGGTGTGCAGTGCCTCTGGATAACCTGTTCACAACTTTTGGTATATCGCCAAGAGTGGTATTGCTGGATCAAACGGTAGATCAATGTCTAGCTTTTTAAGCAGCCTCCAAAAAGTCATATTCTTATTGCTTAATGATGGCTAAGCTGCTATTTGACAACTTCCTTTTTGTCTTAGAAAATTCCTGCTTCAAATACCTCACAGCCTTTAACTTTTCTAATTCTAGATTAATCCATGGAGGACAGCTGTTGAATGGATTAGCAGGTCCAACTGTAATGAATGCAGCACCATTCCTCTCCACAACGTGGTTTTCTGCAGATGAACGAGCCACTGCCACTGCGATTGCATCTATGCTTAGTTATCTTGGAGGAGCATGTGCATTTTTAGTCGGACCACTTTTTGTTCCAGCACCCAATGGAACATCACCTCTTCTTGCTGCAGAAAGTAGCAGGCTCATATTAAAGATCGCATCGAGACTGTGCTTATGCAGGTTAATTTAAGCTTTTTCTTTTCCTGTCATAATTTACTTTTTATCTCAACTCATCTTCACTCTATTTTTGTTTACTGGATCACTTTTATGAGATATTTATTGAGACTGATTATTATTAACACATGCAACAAATGTGCTTTCCTTTGTATATTAATACAACAATGAAGGTGCCCTTATTTGAACTTATACTCTTCCTTAGAAGTACTAAATTTAAAATGTACTTTGCTATTAAGGACTAAAATATTACAATGAGAAATAGCAGCCTCTTCAACAAAAAACTGCTGGGAAAACTGGTTAGCAGTCTGCAAAAAACTGAAACTAGATCCATGTATATCACCCTATACCAAGATTAACTCAAAATGGATCAAGGATCTTAATATCAGACCACAAACTCAAAGTTGATACAGAAAGAGTAGGAAATACTCTGAGTAGTAGGTATAGGTAAAACTTTCTCAAAACCCCAGCAGCACAGCAACTAAGAGATAGCATAGATAAATGGACTCATAAACTAAAAAGCTTCTGTTCTCAAAAGAAATGGTCTCTAAACTGAAGAAACACCCACAGAGTGGAGAAAATATTTGCCAGCTACACATCAGACAAAGGACTGATAACCAGAATATATAGGAACTTAAAAAACTAAATTCTCCCAAAACTAATGAACCAATAAAGAAATGGGCAAGTGAACTAAACAGAACTTTCTCAAAAGAAGAAAACTTTGTCAAAAGAAGAAATTCAAATGGCCAAAAAACACATGAAAAAATGCTCACCATCTCTAGCATAAAGGAAATGCAAATTAAAACCACACTAAGATTCCACCTCACCCCTGTTAGAATAGCCATCATTAGCAACACCACCAACAACAGGTGTTGGCGAGGATGCGGGGAAAAAGGAACCCTCTTACACTGTTGGTGGGAATGTAAACTAGTACAACCACTCTGGAAAAAAATTTGGAGGCTACTTAAAAAGCTAAACATTGATCTACCATTTGATCCAGCAATACCACTCTTGGGGATATACCCAAAAGACTGTGACACAGGTTACTCCAGAGCACCTGCACACCCATGTTTATTGCGGCACTATTCACAATAGCCAAGTTATGGAAAACAGCCAAGATGCCCCACCACTGACGAATGGATTAAGAAAATGTGGTATCTATACACAATGGAATTTTATGCAGCCATGAAGAAGAACGAAATGTTATCATTCGCTGGTAAATGGATGGAATTGGAGAACATCATTCTGAGTGAGGTTAGCCTGGCCCAAAAGACCAAAAATCGTATGTTCTCCCTCATATGTGGACATTAGATCAAGGGCAAACACAACAAGGGATTGGACTTTGAGCACATGATAAAAGCGAGAGCACACAAGGGAGGGTGATAGGTAAGACACCTAAAAAACTAGCTAGCATTTGTTGCCCTGCAACGCAGAGAAACTAAAGCAGATACCTTAAAGCAACTGAGGCCTATGAACTAGAGAAAAGGTTAGATCAAAAAGAATTAACCTAGAAGGTAACACACACACAGGAAATCAATGTGAGTCAATGCCCTGTATAGCTATCCTTATCTCAACCAGCAAAAACCTTGTTCCTTCCTATTATTGCTTATACTCTCTTACAACAAAATTAGAAATAAGGGCAAAATAGTTTCTGCTGGGTATTGAGGGGTGGGGGGAGAGGAGGGGCGGAGTGGGTGGTAAGGGGGGGGTGGGCAGGGGGGAGAAATGACCAAGCCTTGTATGCACATATGAATAATTAAAAAATTAAAAATAAAACAAATAAAATTTAAAATGTACTTTGCTTGATGGAAGATTCTTTATACTCTGTTATCCAAAAAGCACTGTTATAATACATTTCTAGTTTCCTTCTCTAGATGTCCTACCAATATCCTATATAAATATCTATATAAAACTATATAAAATTAATGTTTCTCCCCTACAATTTCCCCATTATTGACCATGTTCTCCGACACTATTAACCTTGATCACTTGTGGTTTATTCTCTTCATTTCCTCCTGCCTGTATGTTTAGTCTATTAATCAAGTATATCAACCTTTCCAAAACATTCTCTTGTATCCTTTTTCTCTATTCTAAGAGTCAAAGCACTAATCCGAGCTTACAGTACAGTCTCTACAGGATCTCTTAAAGTATGTTCCCCCTCTCCACATACCTATTTATTGTTTCTTTCTAGATACAGAACACCTTTTATAAGTGTTTACTTTGTACCAGGTTCTATGCTCAGCACTGGGAATTGGAAAGATCAGTGAAAACAAGTAGGAATTTACAGAGGTAGAGAAACCTAACTTGCCTGGGTTTAGAGAGAAGTTGAGAAGTCAAGGAAAGTTTCACCAAGAATTTAGTAATAAACAAAAGTAAGAACTTCATAGGAGTCAACAGGTGTTCAAGAGGGGTAGGGGATTCCATACGGGAGGAACTGCAAAGGCAAGGAAGGTAATGAGAGAACCAAGTATGTCCAGGACACTACCCATAGTTTGGTATGTCCATGATAGTTTGGTATGTGTGTGATTCTAAGTTGGTAGCAAGTAGCAGAAAATGAGACTTGGAAACATAAGGGATCAGATTATACTGAACTTTGTCTTAATTTATTTATTCCCTTATTAACAAACATATTTTGAGCTCCTATGAACCTGTCACTGTACAGGCACTGAGGTGAGCATGTTTCCAGCTTTAAAAGAATTTTCAGTGTCCTGAAGGATGCAGACAGGTAAACCTACAATTTTAGAACTGTGTGTGTGTCTGCGTCTGTGTGTGTGTGTGTGTATGTTGTGTGTGTGTGTGTGTGTGTGCAGTTTCTCGAGCAGGACTGAAAGGTTTGAAGTTCACCAGTCTGAAAGCAAACGCCACATTTTTTTTTTTATTATTCATTGTTTTATTATTCATATGTGCATACAAGGCTTGGGTCATTTCTCCCCCCTGCCCCCTCAATAACTGGCAGAAACTATTTTGCCCTTATCTCTAATTTTTTTGAAGAGAGAGTATAAGCCATAATAGGAAGGAACAAGGGTTTTTGCTGGTTGAGATAAGGATAGCTATACAGGGAGTTGACTCGCATTAATTTCCTGTGTGTTACCTTCTAAGTTAATTCTTCTTGATCTAACCTTTTCTCTAGTTCCTGGTCCTCTTTTCCTATTGGCGTCAGTTGCTTTTAAGGTATCTGCTTTAGTTTCTATGCCAAATGCCACATTCTTGAAGAACTTGACATAAAGACTAAAAGTTAATTAGTAGTTGTCTAGGGCTAGGGAATTTTCGAGATAATCAAAAAAATTCTGAAATTGTAATGGTTGCAAAGTTATACAAATGTACAAAAATTGGATTGTGTACTTCAACGTGTGAATTTATATGTTGTGTGAATTATTTCTCATGAAGTAACTCACAAAAATGTCTATAGAAAGATGGCCAAAGAATATGAACAAGGAAATCACAAAAGAAATATAAATAACCAATAAGCATATGGAAGATGCTTATTCAATGTGACTCATAGTTGAAAGAACTCAGTTCATTGATTTGTTACTCTTCAGATTGACAAAGAATTCAAAAATTGAAAATACAGAAGAATCTTTTAATAATCTTATCTTTCAGAATTAGAAATCTATGAATTTCAATTGAATTAAATCAAATGATCTATATTTAAGTGTCTTATAGGAATATTGTCCCTTTGCTAAGAATGTAACCTTAGAATTATTCAACAGAAAGGACCTCTAGAAATCACTAAATCCAATCCAGAAAGAATTAGAGGTTCACCCAAATTTCAAGTCAATTATCAGTGTAGGTGAGTCTGTACTCCATGTTTCCTGACTTCATTTAGTGCCAGGCTGTTCTACATTGGATACAGTTAACAAAGCTGGGGCTTCTGTGTGCCAGAACTGTGGAGGGAAGGACCAAGACACTTAGGAACTGCTCTCCTCTGTAATGAGGCCAAACTAAGATGGCTTGGATGTTCAGTTTACTTCTCATGTTAAATATTCTACATTAGCTAGTCTTGTGTTTAAATTTTTCTGTCTCTGGGTTTCTTGTTTCTTGATTTTTTCTTGTCTTGTTTAACTTCCTATACCATCTGTAAATTGGATCTGTCCTATACATAAATCAGAAATCTTGCCCTTGATTAAACAAACTTCCTATCCCATCCTTACCAATTTTCTCCCCTTTCTTTCCTTCAAAGTACCGTATTAATTAGACACTCATCCTAGACCTGTTTCAGAATCTTTTTTACCATAAGGCACTGTGGGTTTGAATGTTTTCTTCATGGAGTAATAGTTGTTTACTGCTGCTCGGCAGGCACTCTGACACTTGAGCCATGCTCCCAGTCTTTTCACTCTTTTAGTTTTTTTTAGTTAGGGTCTCATGCTTTTGCCCAGGCCAGCCTCTGCCTTCCTATTAGCTGGGATTACAGGAGCGTACCACCACACTTGGCCCAAGCCAAGTGTATATTTGGCTCCTGAAATTGATCTCTGTACATACCTGTTTTTCTCACTAGACTGAGCTATCTTGGCTATCATGTACTATATTTTGCTTATTTTTGTATATCTAGGACTTAGTTCATGCTCAGTAAACATGAGTTATGTAATAAATATGTCACATATTCAATTTTTTTTGTCATTGGTTAACACTTTACTTTTTTCCCTTCAGAATTTGGAGCTGTCTGCTTAATATTCTCTGCAACACTGGCTTATTTCCCACCCCGGCCTCCGCTTCCTCCCAGCGTTGCTGCAGCCAGCCAGCGGCTGGGCTACCCGCGCAGCTTTTGCAGATTGTTGAGGTAAATACACTGCACTGAGGTCATGGCACTGTGTGCCTAGGCTTGATATAATTCCACCCTTTTAAAGATAACTTGAGATAGGAACTTCTCAGCAACCATCAGTCAAGTTGTAGCTAATTGATAAGAGACTAATATTTTGATATCCTATCAGAAATCTACCTTGAAAAATCATCCAAAACCAAAACCTCTATAATTTTTGCCTTATCTGCATACCATCTATACTGTTATTTACTTAATATTTTAAAAATTAAATCTCTTATTTTCCTTGTAAATTTTAATTTTCTTTTATATAGAAACTTAAACTTACACCCCACAATAGTATCTGAGAAATTATGGGTTTTAAGTGTATCTTATATTTTCCTAACATGCAGATTATTTTATTCATTATGTATTTGTTAATGAATATCAAAATAAATAGAGAGTAGTCAATACAAAGTAAATAAAATACTATTTACACATCACCTAAAACCATCTCATGTACCACCCATAGCATCATAGTTTGAGAAACTTAGTGATTATTTTATTTCATTACTTTATTTTACTGACTTAACTTAAATGTAGTGAGATTAAATTCTACCCTTGAAGGCTCTAATGCTCCAGGACTAAATTTGCTCTTGGAGGTTTAGAACATCACTGCCAATTGTGATGTGCAGTTGAATTTTTCCCAGTTAGTTGTAATGAGGTTTTATTGACTCATCAGCTCTCTGTGGTTAGCTCTTTTCTTATCTTCCCACCCCCACATGGTAAATTCCATGTAGGGAGAACTATGTCTTCATATCTTCTGTTACGTTCCTGTTAGGTAGTAGTGTAATTCAAGTCACATATGTAATCTTAAATCTTTTAGTAGCCTCATGAAGAAATATAAAAAGAAACCAGAAAAATTAATTTTAGTAGCATATTTTATTCAACCTAATATATCTAAAGCATTATCTTAGCATGTAATCAAATTAAAATTATTAATCAGGTATTTTGTATTCTTATGTTTGTATAAATCTTTAATATCCACTGTATATCTTACCCTTACAACACATTTCAACTTAGACACTAAATTTTCATTGGAAATAGTTGATATGTATTTATATTTCGTTAAGTCTACAGTTGAAAAGTATTCATTGAATGATATTTCCCATATATAATTTATTTAAAATTAACAATAAATAATTGCGTTTTCAAATTTTGAATCAGCAGACCTTTGATTTTATAGGAAAGGTCTTGCATTTTGTACACAGTTGTTTGGGGCTTAGTTGAAAACCTGTCACTTCTATAAAATGACAGTTTTTAGTCTTTTCAACATAATTTTTAACAAACTTCCATAGCTAAAATAGCCATTTATTTCACCATTTCTCCATCTAAAAGTGGTTTGCTTTTTCTGCAAGAATCCAGACTATTTTTTAGCTGCCCAAAGTCATAAGTTCACACCTTTAAAAATTGTTTTAGGATATTTGTTGGACACTTAATTTGATTTTCAGCAACTAATTTTCTTGATACTTTTTTGACTGTTAAGAAGAAATGTCTTTTAATACTACCACTTAAATAACCTATTTTTTTTTCACAGCATACATTTTACTTTGCTCTGCTGAGGCAAATTGTAACTGTCATTCATTGTGAAACTCACTACATGCCTTTTTTATTCCAGTCTCTTATTTTTCTCTACACGAAGTATTCAAATGAACAAATTACAAGTTATATCAGTATATAGAAAGAAAGAATTAAAACCAAACGAGTTCACTGACACCAGGAAGATCAGTGATGAGTTGTAATGAGGAAACACATGTCCTGGTGGTATACACGCTAGAGTGACATCATGTACTCTGTAATTATTAAAGTAAGATGCAGTGCTGCCAAAAACAAAGTTTCATAGAAAAGGACTTTGCACTGCTTCTGTTTTTAAATTAGTTAGGATGAGATAAAATTAAAAATTCAGTTCCTTACTACACTAGCCATATTTCACACAATGTAATAATATAGTAATGCTGACCACCATTTTTTTTTTTTGATCTTTGATCGCTCTGTTTTACAGTTCCCACCATAGCTGAGATGACAGTTGTGCACCACTGCACCCACCTTTTTTTCCATTGAGATAGGTTCTCACAAACTTTTTGCCTAGGCTGGCCTAGAACCTCAATTCTCCTGATATCAGCCTCCCAAATAGCTGGGATTACAGGTGTAAGTCAGTGGCACCCGGCATGATCACCATTTTTTAAAAAACAAAGTGGGATGAAATAAAACAGACTATAAAATATTGTTATGCCACACATATTGAGGATACATATTTTGTGAGACTTTTATTTTAGTATATACAAAAGCCACAAAATAAAAATAAATTTCCTACTCGGGTATAGTATGAAGTTTTTGAAAACCACTTCTCTACACACCTTCCACATAATAAATGAAGAAAAATATTAGCTAAGTGGCACACATTTGTTTGTTTTTTGGGTTTTTTAAATTCATTTATTCACATGTGCGTACATTGTTTGGGTCATTTCTCCCCCCTGCCAGTGGCACACATTTGTAACATGACAGTTTAAAATGATAGCTTTTAAAAGTTCTATTTGGTTAAAATTTTCTCCATGCAAAGCCAGAAGAAGTTAGCTGTCTCTGGTTAGATAAAGCTTGAGATGTAGATTGGAGTCATATTTATTTTGCCACACTAGTAATTCTGTACTGTTCTGTGGGAAATAGGAGTCATTAAAGTACTTTAAGCTAAGGAGTTACATATAAGATTGTTTTGACATGAAAAAGAGTAACTTTCAGTATTACTCCGACCACCATATACCCAGTGTTTACTTCTAATTACCTGAGAACTCAAGACCTTCAATCTGTATTTAAACCATAAATATAATAATTTTCTCCTCTGTAAACAGTCTGTTTTTTGTTTCTTTGTTTCTTTGTTTTTACCACCCACCACCTAATATTCCTTGGTCTCTTCCTGTGTTGGTCTCTTTACTTTAGGATGGCCCACTCTACCCTTGGCCCTTCAGGGAGTTCTGTGAGCCTGCTGTGCCACATTCCCCTAGCCTAAATATAATTTTCTCTGGTCTTGCAAAGAACTCCTGAAATCATTACTTCCTGGATTAATCAGAACAACAGAACAGTTGCCTCTTCTAAATTCTAATTACGTTGTCTGAGCAAAAAACATCAGTGATTATGCTCCAAGGTTTTCACCACAATTACTTATCTCCTATCTATTTGTTTCCCTTCTCAAATATGCTTCTAACCCATGTAACCTCATGCAGATATTTCTTTTTCTTTATGTATTGATGTCGTGTTTGATGATGACTCTTATTGTGTTGCCTTTTAGACTTCAAGAGTGGAGAGTTGGGTAGAACATAACTGCTTACTTCAGGGCCCATGAACGCATTTATTTATTTTTTTTAATTCATTCTTTTGTTTATATTGCCTAATCTTCTCCCCTTTCTAGGTCTATTCTCAAAGCTTTCTATGTGTATTTCTTTGTCTCTTTGCTTTTGCAATATGTATAGTATTTTTCATGGATCTATGTTAAATTTATATATAATCATTTCTTCCACATATATATACACACACACACACACATACACACACACACACACACACATCATTTGCTTGACTTTTTTCAGTAAGCATTATGTGTGGTTTTTTTTAAACCTTCCTTTTGGAATGTTCCAATAATAGTAAGGTAGAATAAAATAACTCTTAATATCTCCATAGCCCAATGTTAACAATGTCCAGTCAGTCTTGTTTTATTTATGCTCCACCTTCTTCCCTCCTTGTATCATGAAGCATATCCCAGAGGACAGATCATTTTGTCCAAAAATATTTCAATATATTATACAGCATATGTTAAACATATAGGGCCTTTTTTTTTTTAAACAGTCTTGCTATGTAGCTCAAGCTAGCCTCAAGCTTGCAGTCCTGCCTCAGCCTCCCAAGTACTTAAGGACTCTTTTTAGCATAATTATAGTGTCATTATCTTACCTCACAACTGAACAACAGTTTACTAATATGAAACCAGAGCTTAGCTGACTGAGTGACTCAAGTGATAAAGCACCTGCCTAGCAAGTGCCAGGTCCTGAGTTCAACCCCAGTACTGCAAAAAGCAAACCAGAACAGAGTTTAAATTTTCTATTGTCTCATAAGTTCTTTTTAAGTTTGTTTGAATCAAGATCAGATTAGGATCACACATTGCATTTAGCTCAAATGCCTTATAATCTGTGTTTCCTTTCTATTTCTCTCTTTTCTCGTTGTAATTTATTTGTTGAGCCAGTTCTTTTATCTCCAAGGTGTGAATTTGTTGATCGTCTCCTTGTGGAGGTTGACATGTTCCTCTATCCTTAGCATTTGCTATAAATTGCTAGCAAAAGCTGTGTTCTAATTCAGGTTTTCTTTTTGCTTTTTTTGTTTTGTGTTGTGTTGTGTTTTGTTTGTATTGTGTTGTGTTTTGTGAGACTACTTCATGGGTAAGGCCATATTCTTCTACCGGGAGGCATTTGATGTCTGGAGAGCGCTCATTTTGTGATGTTAGCACTTTGTCTTCAAGATGCATCCATGTTGCTGTATGTACACCTAACTCTTCATGCTCTACAGTATTAATCTCTCACATTTTATCTACCCATCCCATTGTGTACCCCCATTGCCTCCAATTCATTACTGTCAAAAACACCACTCTAGTGACACACCTCACATATGCCACCATAGACCTAAGAAAATAGATCCTGTAACAGGATTGCTTGGTCATGAAGTAATCTAAGCTTAATTTGTCAAGTGTTGCCAGATTGCTTTCAGAATTGTCCATCTTTGAGTTGGGGGTGTGACTCAAGTGATAGAACATGGCAGGCTAGAGGCCCTGAGTTCAAACCCCAGTACTGACCAAAAAAAAAAATCTTTTAATATGTCTTTTGTTCAACTTACATTATGTGACTAATAGGCTTCGGATTCTGATTATGTGATTGTTAGCCTTTACATCTACTGTAAATTCCTGTTTATGGCTTCTTCCTAATTTTTTTTTTTTTTTTTTTTTTTTTTTGCGGTTCTAGGGTTTGAACTTAGGGCCTCACACTTTAGGCAGGTGCTCTGCCACTGCATCCATGACCCTAGCTCTTTTTTGCTTGAGTTGTTTTTCGGGTAGGGTCTCATGCTTTTGCCCGAGCTGGCCTGGACCACAGTGTTCCCACTTAATGCTCCCATGTAGCTGAGATGACAGGTGCGCACCAACACACCTAGCTTTTTTGTTGGGATGAGGGAGTCTCACTTACTTTTTGCCCAGGCTGACCTTGAACTGTGATCCTCTTGATCTCCACCTCCAGAGCAGCTGGGATTTACAGGCATGAGCCACTGTGCCCAACTGCTTCTGCCCAGTTCTTAAGGATAGTTGCAAGGGAGGGTAAAAGAAGGAAGTTAAGAAGGCAAATATGACTAATGCATTTTCTATATAAAAATGAATTTAGAATTTTTATACCTATCGAAATCACCATAAGAAGGGGACTATTCCAGAATTGGGGAGATGGGGGATAAAAGAGAATGATGGAGGAGGTGAACTCAACTATGATATATTGTAAGAACTTTTGTAAATGTCACAGTGTACCCCAAGCACAACAGTAATACTAATAATTTAAAAAGAAAGGCACTAAGGTAGAAAGGAGAAAAATAGAGGTGATGAACCAATTTGGGTTTTAATACATATATACATGGAAATGTCACAATGAAACACTCTGTATAGATATCATAAATAATTTTTTTTTCAAAAACAGAAAACAAGAAGGTAAAACAGGTCCTGTCTAGGGGTTGGTACCAGTGTGAGGGGGGAGGATATAAGGAGAGGGTATAGGAGGGTGAATGTAGTAGAAATATCATGTACTCATGTACGAAAATGGGAAAATGAGACTGGTTGAAACTGTTCCAGCATGGGGAAGAGAGAATGAAAGAGAATGATGGAGGGGATGAATTAGACTACAATATAGTGTAAGAACTTTTGAAATGTCACAATGTACCCCCAGCACAACATAATATGATAATTTTAAAAAAGGATAATTGCTTTTTCTTAATGATTTATACTTTTTAGATGTAAACCCTTGTTCGTTTAAAATTTTTCAAACATATACTCCCAGTCTGTCATCTGCCTGATAATTTTGTACATGGATTCTGTAGGCCCTAAAGTGACCATGCAGAGAGGAGTGATCTGGCCAAGAGATTCTTTATTGCTGGGTGGGAGAGGGAGAGAGCCGAGACAGAAGGGGGAGTGGGAGGCAGGGGCTTAAATACCCCTCAGTGAGACTCGGCATGATCTGATTGGTTAGGATCTTATGGTTCATGCTGATTGGAGGTTGGGGCAGAAGGAGAATTCAAGCTAGACTTGAGGCAGGACCGTGACCCTGGGAAACAGAAGCTTAAGTGTGCAGTAAGAACCGAAACCTATCGGCACCGTTATTGCCAACAGATTCATTAAAAATTAACTTTTTTGTTTTGTTTTTCACCAAAAGATTGCTAGAGAACAATATCACGCTGTGTGATACAGAGCACAATACATGATACAGAGCATATATTGAGATTAGGCATCTTAATATATAGTGCTAACCAGTGATACAGAAGGAGGTTTCTTCCCTCCATAAAATGAGCTAGCACCATTTACTGAACATCCTTTGCACTTTGATTTTCCGCGCCATCTTTGTCGTATATTGAATTTCTGGGTCTTACTTTCTATTCTTCTTCATTGCTGTTTTGTTCTTGAGCTAATGCAACACTGTTTTTATTATTCTGGCCATGCAGTTTATCTTTATTCTGATAGGACAAGGGTGTTTAAAGAGTGACTTAGCTTTTTTAAAAACATTTCTTCTTCCATGTAAATATTAGAGCATATTTCTTGAGTTTCTAGAAAGAAAAGTACAACTGGGGGTTTAGTTGTGATTGCATTGAATTTATAGATTAATGTGTGGTGAATTGATAGTGTGGCCTGACTCCATCTATTTAGGTTGTCTCTGTACCCTTAATTAGGTTACCTCCCCATAGAGGTCTGACTTTCCTGCTTTATTCATAGATACTTGCAGTTTTTCAAAAAGCTATTTTGGAAACAAAATATTTTTTGAGTGGTATCTAATTTTCATTACATTTTTTAAATTAAATTTTTTATTTTGAGGTAGTGGTAGATTTACGTGTAATGTCAGAAATAACACAGAGTGATAACATGAGCAGTTCCCCCAGTGATGACATCCTGCAAATATACAGTACAGTATCACCACCAGCGCACTGATGTTGATACTGCCCACATACAGAACGTCTCCATCACCAGGGTGCCTTCTGTATGCCCTTTCATAGTCAAGAGTGCCTTCCTCTGCCACTCTGCCCTTTAATTCCTGCAAAACACTAGTCTGATTTCTGTTAACTATGATTTTGTCATTTCAAGAAAGTTATATGAATGGTGTTATATGATACATAAAATTTTGGCCCTTGTTTTACTCACTATAATTCTCCAGAGTCATCCATGTTGTTGTGTGTTGTCACTAGTTCATTCCTTTGTATTGCTGAGTAGTATTCCATGGTACATCATGCCATATTTTACTAATCACTTGTTAAATGATACCTGGTTGTTTCTGGGTAGGGGTTGGGGAGAACTTACTAAAAACATTTGCATGTAAGTTTTTGTCTGAATGTAAGTTTTCATTTCTCTGGGATAAATGTCGAGGAGTACAATTGCTGAACTGTATGGTAGTAGCATAGTTAAAAAAAAAACAACAAAAAAAAATGCCAAGCCATTTTCCAGAATGGCTGTACCATTTTTCATTTCTGTGAACAATGTATGGGTCATCAACTTTCTGTGCATCTTTATGAGACTTTGGTGGTGTTGCTGTTTTTATTTTAGCCATTTTGACAGGTATGTAGAGATACAGTTTCTGTAGAGGACAGTTAGCAGTATCTATTAAAATCACAAATACTTGAACTCTTTGACTTGTTAATTGCATGTATAGGTGTACTAGCATATATATGAAATGACTTTGTAAGAGCAAAAGATCAAAATTAGGGCTACTGAGCAGCTCAAGTGGTAGAGTGCCTGCCTAGCAAGCACAAGGCCCTGAGTTCAAGCCCCAGTACCACAAAAAAATAAATAAAAGATCAAAATTACATATATGGTTAAATAAATTTGACACGCCAACATAGTGGAATGCACAGCCGTAAGAAAAATTGAAGCTCTTTATGTATTGATTATGGAAAAAAGCTCTAAGAAATGTTTGAAAAGCAAGGCTTAGGAGCTGGGGATGTGGCTTAGTGGTAAAGCGCTTGCCTAGCATGGGTGAGGTCCTGGGTTTGATACCCAGCACTAAAAGAAATAAGCAAGGCTCAGCAAATGATTGTAATCTAACATTTGTATAAAGGGTTAGAGAAAATATACATTTTCAAGAGCACTTTTTTTTTTTAAAGATAGGGTCTCACTATGTAGCCCAGGCTATTCTGGAACTCAGCATTCTGCCGCAGCCTCTCAAGTGCTGGCACTACAGTTGTGTGCTGCCCCACAGCCTAAAACACTGTCCTAAACCAGTGTTGCAAAAAAAGCAGTGTGTGTGTCTACACATTGCATTGGCTTGTGTATTTATAATGTATTTGGGGCAGTTACCCAAGAGATTGATAACATTGGTATTTGTAGGAAGCAGAAAATAGACTGGGAGATTTTTCCTCTGAATTTTTATAACTTTTCAATTTTGAGCCATTGAATTATATTGCCTATTGAAATATTTTTCAGTACAAACTTTAATAATAAAACAAAAATGAAAGCTACTGCCTAAAAATTTAAAAGCTAGCAAACTATCCATTTCTTTTTAATCCTTGGTTTTTTTTCTTTACCTTAGTATTAAAAGGAAAAATAGTAGTTTATCCTTTCAGATAAGAGAGTTTTTTTAAACTGATCTTACTGTCTACTCATTGCATGTAATAATGCTGGTAATTAAGTAAACATTAAATATAATACAGCATACATTGGCAATTTTAAGTAATATAAGCAAAAGATTATTCTTATAAAAATTAAATAATTAAAGAAATATAAATTTACTAATAAACTGACACATATTTTCTACTTTGGTGCTCCAGCTTCCAGATGACTTAAATTATTCATGAGTAAGAGTTTAAATGCTAGTTTTTTAATTTGTAATAATGTTCTTCTCTTTTACAGCAACTTGAGGTTTTTGATGATTGCTCTAGCATATGCTATACCACTTGGTGTATTTGCTGGCTGGTCTGGAGTTCTAGACTTAATTTTAACACCAGTGCATGTCAGCCAAGTAAGTATTATGTACTTACATGTTGTAGGTATGTCAGTTCATTTAACTTATAAATACTGGTTACATGTTCTTGGTTTTAGCTTCAAGGACTTTGTAAAACACTTTCCTTTGGAAAATTCCTATGGGACAGTTAAAAACTTGATTTGATACATGAATTTTGCATTTCTTTGAGTACTATTAATGATGCTGGTAAACAGAACAGAAAAATGTTATTTTGTTGACTCATTTATCCCTGTTTCATACTTCATGAAGGAGTTTATGAACCCATCTTCAAATATAGCTATTCCTAACATCCACTTTCTGTCTTCTCAGAATAAGGGTATCTCATTTCTTTAAAAACAACTATTTCACCCTGGTTGATGCCATTAGTTCCTTCTCTTTACTTCCAGATAGCATGGGAGGAAGATAGAGAAACATCTAGAGGGGCAAAAGGAAGAAATTCAACATACTGGTGTGATAGAATATTCTATTTTATGAATAAACATTTTGTCCATTCTCCTTTTGCTGAACATTTGACTCATTTACCATTTTTATTTCATAAGCAGTACCATGTGAATGTTCTCATACATGGCCTTTGATGCCTCTCTTACATAGTTCTAGGAATGGAATTGCTGGTTATTAATGTAATGCTACTTTGATAGATAATGCCAAGCTTGTCCAAAGTGATTGTATCCATTTTCAGTCCTACCAGCAACGTGTGACATTTCTCATCACTCCACCTCATTCCTAGTACTTGGTTATGTGTGTTTTAGACATGCTAATAGCTGTGCATGACACCTGTGGTATCTTTTCAAGTATTAATTAGGTATTTGAATATTCTTTTTGGTAACATACCTGCTCAGATCTCTTGTCCCTTATTTGGCTGCCTTTTTCCTATGGAGTTGTAGAGAGCTGTGCAGAAGGAGGCTCTCCAAAGGATTGTGTGAGGTCCCTACCCCAGTGAGTTTAGAGTGAGAAATGGTCTGCACATACAAAGGGCAAAACTGCTAGAGACTTAACTGGGAGTCTGCTAAAGGGTTGAAAGCAGAACAAAGATAGCAGAGGTCAGTGTCTTGGAGTTCTGGCCCAGCCAATATCCTGATGCCTTGGGCTCCTGCTGAGACACCAGAAAAGCCAAACTAATGGACCAAGGACCATGCACTAGGCAGACAAAGTAAGGCCTACTCTAGTTAGATCTGTGTACCTAAACAAAGCCAACACAAAGCTCTGACAAAAATCTGCACAGGAGACAGTTTGGAGATTGAGGGAGTGGAGAAACACTCCCTCTCATCTTCCCTATTTTCAATTTTAGTTTCTGCTCATCTTCCCTATTTTCAATTTTAGTGTCAAGGTTTTACTGGTCTCAAAAAGCAACTTAGAAAATACTCCTTTTTTTTTTTCTAAGATTGGTGGTTTTGATCTTTTGTTTTCCCCCAAATATTTGATAGAACTCACTGATTAAGTTATATAGTATTTTTATTGTTGTTATTGTTAAAAAATTTTAAATATAGGTCCAATTACTCTAATAGTTCCAAAATTTCCTATTTAATCTTATGTCAATTTTGGTAATTTATACATTTCTAGGATTTATCTCTCAATTTTTTAATTTATTGGCAAGAAGTACTTAATAGTATTTATCATTTTATGATTTTATTAGGTCCCCAGGGTAAGTCATTCAAGATACTGGTTATCTATATTTTGCTTGAACAACTTTACCAGTGGCTTCTTATCATTTCTTTTCTATTTCATTGATTCCTGTTTTTATTTTTACATTTTTCTTCTGCTTTTTGGGAAAGAGTTGTTATGCTTTCCTTTTTCTAACTTTTTGATATTAACTCTACCAAAGATCCTTGATTTTTAGCTTTGCTTTTTGTTTCTAAATTATGCATTTTAAAGCTTTAACTTTTTCTTTTTTTTTTTTTTTTTTTGTAGTACTGGGATTTGAACTGGGCCTCACACTTGCTAAACAGTGCTCTACCACTTGAGACACTCCACCAATCCTTTCTTGTGATAGGTTTTTATAGATAGGGTCTCCCAAACTGTTGCCCAGGCTGGCTTCAAACTGAGATCCTCCTGAACACTGACTGCCTCCTGAGTAGCTAGGATTGCAGGCTGAGCCACTGGCACTTGGCTATAACTTTCTTTTTTAAACACAGCTTTCACTTCATCCCATAAGTTTTATTAAGTAGAACTTTAATTATTATTCAACTTAAAATATTTTCTAGTGTCCATAGTGATTTGTTCTTTAAACCATGGGTTGTTTACAAGGAAATGGCTTAATCTACAAACTTTGAAAATTCTTTGATTCTTTTTTTCCTAACTATGTTGCATAGATGTGGTCATAGGATACATGCTTTGATTTCAGTGTTTTCAGGCTCAGGTACTTTTTTTGTTTTTTCTTTTCATGGTGGTGGTGGTGGTTCGAGGGTTTGAACTCAGAGCCTTGTTCTTGCCAGGCAGGCACTTTTCCACTTGAGCCTCCAGTTTAATTTCAGTATTTTCAAATATTTTGACCTACTATATGGTTAATTACATTCTATAATTCTTGGATATAGTGTTTTATGCATGTCAATTAGATCAATTCTGTTAATTATGTGGCCCACAGAATTATAAGATCTTTTTTGTATCTTTGTTCATTTTTTTCTTTTTTTATTATATTCATATGTGCTCTTTGTTCATTTTTGTTGGCTTGTTCTATCAGTGACTGAGAAAGGTATATCAAAATCCTGCACAATAATGAATTTGTCTATTTCTGCCTTTTATTTCTGCCAGTGTTTGCTTTATATGGCCTAAGACCTATGTAATTAGGTGCACATGAATCTAGAATTGGCTTATCTAACTAGTGAATTAAACCTTTCATTAGCATGAAATATTCTTTATTTCTAGTAATGTGTTTTGCAAACCTGTTTGTTATACCAACTTTCTTTTGGTTGGTGTTTGCATGATACATATCTTTACATTTTTTTTTTGTTTTACTTTCACACTTCTTTAGCTGCAACATTTTATAAGCAGCATTTTTTTTTCTTTAAACTAGTCTGGTAACCTTTGTGTTTTAGTTGGAACATATAGTCTATTTATATTTAATGTAATTACTGATAAATTTGGGTCTAGATCAACCATCTTACTATTGGTTTTCATTTTGTTCAGCATAATCTATTCTCTATCTCTTCTTACCATCTTCTGAGTGAGTCGTTTTTTTTGTTGTTGTTGTTCATTTGTTTTTACAGTGCCGGGGATTGAACCAGGACCATTGAGCTACATCCCCCATTCCTTAAATTTTTTGGGGGGTGGTTCTGGGGTTTGAACTCACTGCCTCACACTTGCTAAGCGAGTGTTCTACCACTTGAGCCACTCTGCCAGCCCTTTAAATTTTTTTTTTATTCTATGGTTCCCCATCTATTAGCTTGATAGTTTTAATCACTTACTATATAGTGGTTATCCTAGAAAATACAGAATGCATACTTATTTATGAACATCTATTATAAATTAGAACTGTTACCTTCTCCAGAAGAGTTCAAGGTCCCTAGGACCCTTTAACTTTGTTTAACACTCTGTCCTCTTTTGTGCTATTATCATATATTTTACCCATATAAGACTTTTTTGTTATTCATTTATAATCATCCATAATTACTCATTTTCTTACTCATCATTCCCTCCTTTAGCTTTGATCTTTCATCTGTGAGCATATTTCTTCTGTCTACAGAATACCTTTTAGTGTTTTTTGTTTGTTTGTTGTACACATCTGCTGTACCAAAAGATATTTCCTTTTTGTTCTTTGAAAATATCATTCTATTTCTATAGCTTCAGTTGAGAGGCCAACTCTCAAAATTACAAGCTGACTGCTTTTAAGATTTTCTATTTGTCATTGGCTCCAGTGATTTTTGCTATGACATTTGCTAGGTGGTTAGCTCTCTCTAAAGTTACTCTATTTGAGGTCTAGGACTCCTTGAATCTAGAGTTTGATGTGTCTCTTCAGTTTTTGGAAATTCTTAGCCAGTTATCTCTGCAAAACATATGTTCCATTTTCTCTAGTTTTTCTTTTGGGGACTATTAAGTACATATGTTATAACTTTACACTGTATTCCCTATGTCTCTTACTCTCTTTTCTGAATTTACCATTCTTTTCTGTGCTTTAAGACACAGAACATGTTGTCTAGCATTTTTCCAATTCACTATTTCAGTTTTCAGCTCTAATATGCTATTAGATTCATCTATGAGCCAGTCACAGTGGCTCACATCTGTAATCCCAGCTACTCAGGAGGCAAAGATTGGGAGGATCACAGTTGGAGGCCAGCCTGGGAAAAAAGTTGGCAAGATTCCATCTCAACAGAAAAGCTGGATGTACTGGCACATGCCTATCATCCCAGCTACAGGAGACGTAAGTAAGAGGATCATGGTCCAGACTGGCTTGGGCAAAAACACCAAACCATACCTGAAAAAGAACTACAGCAGAAAGGGCTGGGAGTGTGACTGAGTGGTAGAGCACCTGCCTAGGAAGTGCAAGACCCTGAGTTCAAATCCCAGTGCCACCAAAAGATTAATCTGGGAGCTCATTGTAGTTGTTGTATTTTTAACTTATAATTCTTATTTGGTTCTGTTTATAATTCTATTATAGAAATTCTTGATCTTACCTGTTTTTGATCTATTCAAAATAGTTACCTAAAGTCTGTATCTCAAATTCCATCTCATCTAGGCACCCTGTAGTTCTGTGTGTGTTTTGGGTATTCAGTCATATTTTCTTATGTCTTTAACATGTTCAGTGATTTTTGGTTGAGTGCTAGACATTGTATACGAAAAGTTGTAGAGATAATTAGCTTCAAGATGATGTTGTCTTCCTCCTAAGAAAATTTGTTGGTTTTTGTCTGGCCAGAGTCTAGGGATCTCCTTAACCTAGTTTCAGGGATTGAGATCATTTAATACTGGACTTCCATTCCTTGGAATGATGTTCTATTTGCAGTTTCCCTACTCTTAGGGTATAGTCCTTGGGAGTTCCCAATTAAAGTCTAAGGTTTTTACAAGGCCACCTCACCCCTCAGCAAGCCCAAACTCATGTTGTCCCCTAGGTGCATGAGATTATTAATAACTTCTTAGCATCTTAGCTATATTTTCCAAAATCAGAAGATAACCCTAAAGGAAAATTTCCTCCAAATTCGAGACTTATTTCCCTGGGTTTCCTTCCCATCCTAGATCATGGTTCCATAATTCTGAATTGCCTTGTGGGTTCTCTGTTGACTTCAGATAGATTTCCCTCAGATTTTCTAGTTCTCAACCAGAATACTAATCCAAACTACCTAGTATGTCTGCCTTTGTCCATGCTATAACAAAATACCTTAGACTATGGAATTTGTAATATCAGAACTTTATTTCTCACGGTTTTGGAAGCTGGAGGAGTCCAAAAATGAAGTTGCCAGCAGAGTCAGTGTCTGGTTAGGGCTCACTCTACTTCAGGACAGCACTTTCTAGGGTTGAGGGGAAGGGGCATGGCTTGAGTGGTGAAGTGCCTGCCTAGCAAGCATAAGGCCCTGAGTTCAAACCCCAGTACGATAAAAAAGAAAAAAAGAGAAATGAAGGAAAAAAAAAAACAAAGGTAAAAGATAGTGCCTTCTTGCCTCCTCACATGGCAGGAAGGACAAAGCATCTGCCTTGTAGAAAGGGCATGAATCCCAGCTCATGATTTCATCACCTCCTAAAGGTCTCATCTTTTCATACTGTGACATTGGGGATTAAGTTCCAACACATGAATTTTGGGAGGGCACCAACATTAGCACACCATAAAAAGAAAGCCTTCCTTTAGTTTTCTGACCTGTTTTTCTGGATGGCAAATATTCCAGATGTGCTCAATTCTGATAAGGAAAAGTATACTACCAATTTAAATTATGCTGATTTTGCATATCTATGCTTTGTGTTGTAAAACCTAAGAAGCCCTTCCTTTCTCTCCACAAACTGGGAGATATAGAGTCCGTGAATCATACCAGGTATTAAAGTGGTGTTAAATTAAATAAAAGCAAAAAAAAAAAATTAAAGCAAAGAAAATGTCTGATTAATTACTGGGTAAAATTTTATTAACTAAAGTGAGTATCATGAACAAAGGAACCAGAAAAGTACAACCTGCCCTGAAAAGAACAGTATCAGTACAGCCAAATGTATAGTGTTCCTTAGCCTGGCACAGGACCCTCTCACAGTGGGCCTATTAGCATTAAGTAAGACATGAACAATGGATAGTAAATGCCCTGCAGTGAGAGGATTTGTCCTGCAGAAGAGTCTTCTTGCCCCAATGTCAATGGTATGAAAAACTAGAGACAATATAAGCTTCAGGGTATTCCTTCCCCAGACAGCAATTATGTTTGCTTCTGGCAGCAAATATTGCATGAAATTATTGTATTATTTAGACTCCTCAAATTCTGAATTTCTCATTTCAGATAGCAGGCTAGGACAGTGTGCATAATGATCCAGGACAATTGGCCACAATCTAGACTTCTCTTTTCTTCATGCTGATTTAGAGACCTAAGCTACTTCTACATTGTAGTGCTTCTGGAGCTCGTCAATACATGCATGGGGACAGCTAGGTGACCACATCCAGTGTACAGATGATGAAAAAGGAAAGAGAACATGGAAGAGGGATACAGCTATATTCCAGGTTCTAACCTAGGTGGTACACCTCACTTCTGCTCACTCCATTTACAAGAGCTTACTTACATGGTTCCATGTACCAGATAGGAGTGGGGACATATAATCCAGCGAAGTACCCAGATAGAAGAAAACAGTATTTGCTGGGCGGCTGGCAATCCTTGTCACAAGTGTAGTGAAAAATATGACTCAAAAAGTAATAAAAGATACAAGTTAGTTTGGTTAATTCTTCAGTACCAGGTCAAGTTTGGACTTTGCCCTATAGCCACAAGGAAAGCCAGTAACTATTTCTGAGCAGGAAAGGGGAATGATTCAGATAATTATTCTCGCAATAATGAGCAAAAAGATTGTGAGGATCATTTCAGAAGCTTTTATAGGAGTCTGGAAGTAAGAAATAAGGTGTGGTCATACAATATCTAAGTATGTGGTCATGGTAGGGAAAAAAAGAGAAAAAATGTACCAGTATTATTAGGGACACACAGAATTTCAATGATAACAGCAACTGACATGTATTGAACTCTTTATTAATTTATTTTAAAAGCTTAATTGTCTGAGACATAAGAGTATAAGTTGGAACAGAAGGAAAGTCATAATAAGAGTTAAAGGTAGGTGAATGATGAGGAAGTGTAGCTTGCTCAGAAAGAGCATGGGCATGAAGGTAGGAAAGAAATAAGAAAACAGGAGAAGCATCATCAGGTAAGAATTACAGCTAATATTTATTGAGCACTTCCTATGTGCTGGCCACTGATCTAAGTTCTCTGTACAGATTATCTCATTTCATCCATTCTGTAAGTTCAAATAAAACATAATTTGCCTGAAGTCACAAGGCTAGTAAATAGCAGAACTGGAAACATTTTCTCAAAAAAGGAATAAACTGTACATGTCAAACCCCACTCAGCTTCTCTTTTTGTAGCCACTCTCTTGCTTGGTCCTATATTTCTCTTTCCCTTAGTGTCTGTCTGTCTGTCTGTCTCCCTGTCTCTCTTCCTCTCTCTCTCAAAGCAGTTTTAGATGTTGCCAGATGTTTTAGCACCTAATTATTTCCTAGTAGCCTCATGTATATTAGTTATATTTAAACTTTTTGAGATCAGTGACTCTCTTCTGTCCTTTTCCCATCATCTTAAGAGTTCTTAGTACAGTACTAGTATGTAGCACATACCTGAAAATATTTGTTTAATGGCATTGATTATTTTGTTGGTTTAAATATCCCAGTAAAAAAAATCAAGAACATAACTAATTAGATAAGTTTGTATTAATTAGTTACATTTGAATACTACCATGTTACCCATTTTCATAACTAGTGTTTCCTAGATGTGTTGCCATTTACCTATTAATGTGTTAATTATAGAGAATTTCTTTTTTATTTCTTCTAAATTACAACATGACAGTCTTGCATTAAATATGCCTACTACTTTGTTAACAGGTAGATGCTGGCTGGATTGGATTTTGGTCCATAGTTGGAGGCTGTGTTGTTGGAATAGCTATGGCAAGGTAAGAATATTTTTTATATTAAACATGTAAGTAGAACAGAAGGGTGGAAGCCCAAAGAAAAATAGGCTCCTCTAAGTAAACATTAAAATTTAGGGAAAAATAGAAAAGACAGAGGTTTGAAAAAGGTACTTGTTCAAGCTGCAAAAAATTCACATGTAGTAGATAGAATTTGCTGCTACAACAAACCTTCTCAGAAGTAGTTCCTCCTAAAAAGTTTTTTGGAGACTAGAAATGTATTTCTAGTGTAATCAAGCTGCCTCTCTCCATATTATTAGAGAAAAACATCTCCAAATAGAACCCAAAGAAAGGCGATCTGAGAATAAAGCCAAATTGATAGTTAACAAGAATAGAAAAGAGTCTACAAGAATCATTTATAAAAGCAGCTCTAGAACTTTCCATGAAGAGGCAGTATCCTGATTAACAGATATTGATTTCTGGATTTCTGGGATTTTTGTTGTTGTTGTTATTATTGGCAGGTATGTTTCCATAGTTACCCTTTTTGATGAAAAATATCCATAGTTTCCCAATTTCATCAAACCTCCTTTGATCCTAACCCATTTTGACAACACATTTTTAGAATAAATCAGAAGAAAGGAAAGGGTCTCATTTATTAAAAAAAAAAAAGAAAGAAAATGTTACTCTTTTAGTTTCTGCCTGTGAAACTACTCTCAGTATTTCCAAAAAGATAATATTCACTCACTTGCCAAGTCATTTTACCCTGTTTAATCAAAAACAAAATTAGGCAATCAACTTTACCAAGAAGAGAAGAATCTAATTACATATTTGGGGAGATCAGATAAGATATGTAAATCACTCAATATCTAAATATTTAAACATAATTGACACAGGATAATATTATATCTAGACCTTACAGTTTGCATAGTATTTCTGAGATAATGCAAGAATTGACACTGTCACTTCCAAATCACTTTATTTGAGGTTTGTATAAGTTAGGGAAATATAAGAATAAAATCTAAGAGCTGAAGAAGTAGGATGGGAAAATGTTCTTTATAGGAAGTCACTTCACTAAAATACACTGACCAGTCACATTCTGACATGCATCATACCTCATGAAATTTCTAATGAAATTTTTCTAACATGAAATCTCCAAGCCAATTAAAGTAAGTCATCATTGGTCAGATCCTATTCTGAGCATCAGACAGGTCCAAGGCAGGAAAGGAGCAACAGCGTGTTCCTTTCTCTCTCTTTCTCTGATCTTTTGTTTTCTTTTCTTTTTATGATCTTTTTACTACCCGTTAATTCTTTACTATATTTAGATACAACTAGGGGGTGGAAATCACAGGAGGACATTTCTGCTTTTTTCAAGACAGGATCTCACTTTATAGTCCAGGCTAGCCTCGATCTCATGACCCTCCTGTCTCAGCCTCCCTAGTGTTAGAATTACGAGGCCTGTGCCACCATGCTGAGCCATTTCTGCCTTTTTTTAAATTTGTTGAAATGGAAGTTCTAAAATTTCTTCTCTTACTCTGGGAGTAGAAATCAATTTTAAGATTATTTTTCATATCACCACTTTTTGGGGGCTCCTTAGAATAGAATCTACTTAAAGAAAGTATGCTTTGTATAATTCTTCTTATGTTTTGTTGTGAAAGGCCACTATTAAGATAGTGCTTTGGTTCTATGACACTCTTTGGTGATATCAACCTATTTCAAAGGACTGGATCCTTAAAAATGTCAGACCACAGTGATCAGTTTATTCTTACATGATCAAGCTTCATAAAATTTTCCTGCAGTTTGACTCTGATTTGCACCAGAATGCTATTTTAGTCTCTCATATCTTATCATATGCATAACTGATGGGAAAATTTTATGCAGCATGCAAAAATATAAATTAGAAAAGGGGTTGGTTTTGTATTTTCTTGAAAAACATTTCTGTTAAGCTGTGGAACCTTTTCTGGAGTTCATAGAAATTTGTGCTTGTGAACTTCCAAACCTGTCACTAAGCAAAAGTGCATCCATCTTTCCACCAAAAGATGGCATCAGCTGTCATAGGAAATCATTTTAGTGTAGAAAGCACTAACAAACATGATTAACCGTATCATGTTAAATAAGTGCAAAACAAAGGATAGTATTGCATGTGTTACAAAGGACAGCCACAAAAATTATTTTAGAAATTACAATCAATTTTTAAAATCTAAAGTGGAGAGAACATGGTAAATGTTGTGTTGGGGATAGGATCAATTTTTCTATACTAGGAATAATTCCAAAAAATGGAGTAAATTGTGTGTAGGTCCAGTCAGAGGACTGTGCTTACACAATCACTAATTAATCTGCATGTGAAGAAAAGCAATTGGCAAATGGGAAATGGAAAAAAAATTTGGCATGCCTTTTTATAAAGTTTCATATTTGTTTGGGAAAATAATAGCAATTTTGAGAAAATAAAATGCCATAAAACCCCCAACCTTTATAGAATATCCCAGTTGCTGTGTGTGTGTGTGTGTGTGTGTGTGTGTGTGTGTCCCCAGTATAGCTTAGGCTGGCTTTGAACTCACTATGTAGCCAAGTCTGGCCTAAAACTTGCAATTCTCCTGCCTCAGCCTTCCAAGGGGTGGGTTTACAGGCATGTACCTCCATGCCTAGCTTAGCTGTTATACTCTTGCTCTCAAGGAGCTTTTGCCCTGGTGGTGAGACAAAAAAAGAAAAAATAAGTGCAAAAACAAGACAATTTCCAATCGAGAAAAATGCTATGGAGACATAAAGCAGAATGTAGAGCTGTGGTGGAGAAGGCTTCTTCAATGAGTGTGGAGGCCATGTTGAGCTGAAACCTGAGCAAACTGAGAGTATGGTAAGCAGGAGTGAGCCATGTGAGGATCTGGTGGTACCAGCATTCCACATAGACGAGACAAGTAAAAAGCTACATGTTGCTCAGAAGCAAGCTTAGCATCGATGAGAAACAGAAACACAGTGTCCAGCTGGAGCATAATAAGGAAAAGGGAGAGCCTCAGAGGCAGGATCAAGCCTCCGGTGGATGCTTTTGTGTGAATTCTTTGAGTTTGAATTTTGTAAGCATCATCTTTGCAAATTTTTGTTATCAACAAATTAGCCTATTTTCTGAATTTTAATGTTATTCATTATAGAATGTTTAGAAAATATAAAAACTAGAGGAATCAAAAGTGGCATTAAAAAATTCAGAAATCCATTCTGTGAGTTATAGGCCCCAAACAGAGATGACATTTTGTGTTTTGTAAGATTAAAAAAAAGTTATTACAAAATGACATCATACATATACATTTGTCAGTTGAAAAACAACAAAAAAATTAGTTTTTAAAAGACTAAAGGGAAATTTCTTTTAAGTAATAGTTGTTTAAAGAAAGTATGCCTCTAATTTAATTAACAGTTAACAGTCCAGTTAGAATAAACAGAATATTGTTTCTTTTCAGGTTTGCAGATTTTATCCGGGGTATGCTGAAACTAATTCTTCTCCTCCTGTTTTCTGGGGCTACCCTGTCATCCACATGGTTCACCCTGACCTGTTTGAACAGTGTTACACACCTGCCTTTGACAACAGGTGAGCACAGGCTATTTTTGAGTTTTGAGTAATTATTTTCAGTTCATAGAAGTGTACATACTCTAGCAGTAGAACTTCTTGCTATCCATACATAATTGCTAAATTTCCCTTGTCCAGTCATTATACCACTATTGCATCTAAAAAAGAGCCCAAGAAATAACTAGTAATACTTTAAATGGCATTTTGCATATGGAAAAGAAGTATGTGTGCTCTTTGGTCTAAACTCATAGATTACGGAAATGCTTATAATCTTTTAAAATTCATATCACAGTATAATTCAAAGATTTTGTGTTGTTGGTAATCATTACATCATTATTAAGCAGTATAGAAAATAAAGACAAATTATTTATAATACACTTCAGTAAAATTCTTTGAACCAGCACTAACAGCTTTATTTTTTTTATTTAATTTTATTATTTCAATACAAAACCAAGATTTACTAGAAATGCCTTATAAAAGTATATTGTATCAGCTTACTTAGCTCATCTAATTGACCTGAAACATTTGTAGTTGCCTTTGTTTTTATTGTTATTATTAATCAGTTCAGGGTCTGTATTTTTCTGTTGCTGGTATAATAAGTTACATAAATTTAGTGGCTTAAAAGCAACACAGATTTATTATGTTACATTTCCATAGATTAGAATGAGACCCACCATGAGTGTCAGTAGGCTAAAAGTGTGGGCAAAGTCTGGGGAACAATCTATTTCCTCACCTTTTCTAGCCTCTAGAAGCTACCCCCATTCCTTGGCTTGTGGCCCATTCTCCATAATCAAAGCCATCAACAGCAGACTGAGCCCTCTTGCACTGCAGCGCCTGCAATGTCTCCCACTGTCACATGTCACTGTGCAGTCTCCTCTTCTGCCTTCCCTTTCTCTGCGATCACCTTGGGCCCACTCAGATAATCCGGAATAATCTCCTAATTTTAAACTCAGTTGATAAGCAATTTAATTCCATCTCCATCCTAATCCCCTTTTCCATGTAACATACTCACAAATTCCAAAAACTGAGACATGAATCTTTGGGGGAGAAGGATATTATTCTGTCAACCACAGGTCTTTTTAAAATTACTATGATAGATGGTTATGGAAGCCAAGGGACTCTATTACTGCTTACCAAAGATTGTTTAAGATGCATATTTCTTATTCCATTGCAAGTAATATCCAGCTACCTTTTGAATTATGTGACTAACTATAGGATTATTTGTTATAAAAGTAGGATTAGTTGTCATAGCAAGCATTTGTATGCGTAGGAATAAATAAGAATCTGAAGGAGCTCCATGGGGATGTATTGCCCAGTGGCTTTTAGGTTCCATGGCAGTCCATAAGAACAAGGGTTCTTTTTGTCTCCATATGACTAATGAATACTGTGTATCCCAATTTGAACCTCTCTACTCAGCAATAAAAGCAGCAGCAGTTTACACATCAGAGGCATCAAATCTACCGAAGACCAGTTTTATTTGGGAATTCCTACCCCTTTCACACAAATAATAGGGCAGTGGGTTGCACCAGCCATCATACTAGAGTGCTGCAGCAAACTCATAAGGGCAGCACAGGCAACTGGACATCTGTCAGACACCCCTGGAATTCCTGTTATGGAAGTTTCCAGTGTCAGCAATAGGCTAGACTTCATTCTTTTTTTTTTTTTTTTTTATAACAATCCTATCTTTGCAAAGTTAGTTTCTCAGCAATTGCTGAGATATGAAGTAAATACTGCACAAAATCAATGGGAACAGGAAATAAAGATGGTAGTATTCAGTCTGATTCCAAATATGAGAGAAGTTGTACAGTGGCCCATCAGATACACATATTGCATTAGTAAGTAATTCTGGTTATTTAAGAAATAAATAAAATTGTATTTTCTTTCAGTTTATGGTTTAACTTTTTAAAGTTATTTATTAAATTGTTTGGACCTAACTGTATAATTGTTAGCTCTTTCTTTTGGTCTTGGTTGCACCATGAAAAAATTACCAAGATACCATGAGTGCTAAGAATGAAGAAGGTTTGGAAACCTGTTTATCCCATCCTCTGTGTGCATTGATTTGCCTGTGAAGCCCAGTTTTCCAGAGTAATAAATAGACACGGAGTAAAATACAGTGCACTATTTATACACCAACGTTCCTACATTGAGGTTTTGAGCAATTTTTGGCAAGTCTCCTGGGCTAAAATAATTTCATAATTTAGCACTTGGACAACACTCTGGTAAAGCACTTGGACAACACTTTGGTAAAGTTTACAATGCTTCTTATCCATGGCATGGCACACAGATCTTTTTCATGGTACTGTATGTCAAGTAAATATCTGTGAGATTTTATAAGAACATAGTGGTGAGTACATGATGAACAGATTTCTTTCCTTTGAATTAAATGTAGAATATTCATCATAAGATAGTAAGCTCCTTAAATTTTAGGTATTTTCTATTAAACATGACAAAATTAATAGTTTTATCTCTGAGTGAATTTAATTTTTTACCTCATTTTTGTCTGGATTTGTACAGTGGGCATGTTTCACTTTCATAGTTGGGGAAAAAATATATTTGAAAACTTACATCTTTTTAAACCTTAAAAAAAATTGATGTGTTTGACCCTGGTCGAGACCATGTTTTCCCAATATGTTGTTGAAAATAATTACATTGGGCAGAAAGGAAAACAGAATCCTAAATTAAATCAAGGCCAGAATTGATGTGACTGTCTTAACAATCATGAAAAATGTATCAGTTCATTCTACTGTTGCTTTCAATTGCAAGTCAGTTTTTGAATATCACTTACATATTCCTGAAAGATAATTTTAAACTTACGGATACACTGGGTTAAGGAATAGATCTGCTCACATTCCTTCTCTAAATTATCATAGCCTGTTTTTTTTTTCTCTCTCTCTTTCCTGAGAGCCCTTAGTAGTTATTTACATATATGTCATATCCTCTCTACTAGCTTGAAAGTCTGGGGCATGAATTTATATCTTATAAATTCTGTCCCCAAGTTCCACCTCAATACCTGCACAGACCCTGAGGAGTGAATGAACCAAGGTATGTTATCTCCAGTGAGCTGCAGTAGATAGGACTTCCTGCTGGTGGTAGTCAGCAGCCAGTCACTCTTTGTTATTCAGTTGTAGCTGTAGGAAGGCAAAAGGGCGCATTTTAATGGAACAATAGAGAATTTGAATAAATCTATCACAGATACTCTTACTGCCTTTGTAAAAACCTGACCTAATTCCTTTTAATTTGTAAAAGAAGCTTCCTGAGAGGGAATTTACTACAAAATCTAATTACAGACAAATTTAGACTGTTAGGTCAATGTTTAAAATTAGTAATGGAAAGTTCATGTTTCTTTTTTAATATTCATTATTATTTCAATCAGTAAAATAACTGGTATTTTACACTTTCCTAACAAAGGTAGGATTTCTGTTATGGGTTTTATGTATCAGGAGAATGTCCATGAAAAATGTGTGAAATACAGTCATGTACCACCTAATGATGTTTGGTCAAAAAAAAAAAAATTGATAGCATGTATGATGGTGCTCCCCTAAGATTATATTGTCTACTGACTCTTAGCTGTCTTACTTTGCATTAATACTCGCTGGTGTTCACATGACAACAGAATCACCTAATGACACGTCTCTCAGAACATGTCTACATCATTAAGCAATGTGAGACTGTGTGTGCATAGTAACTGTGAACATAATAAATTAAAAGATAGCTAGTTTTATCAACCTGTGTATTATAAATGCTACTTCTGTCTCTTTAAAACCTAATACAATCTTTCTGTAGTCCACTGATCTTGATATTATTCTTGCCATCTTTGCAGAACTAAAACTGGGTCACAGCATTCTCTCCACAGGCATACTGCACTGATATATGTGTTGCTTACATACACCCTCTTGGAGGCTATCAGCAGTATGTCTTTTTTCCCACCTTAGGAAAACTCAGTATTTAAAATCGCATTATTAATTGAAGTACTTACAGTAGGGTGAATAAAAAACCTCATGACCAGATAACGTGAGTTTCAAAATCTTGAAGGCTTATGCTATAAACAAAGTTATGAAAACACATTATGTACTTTATCTGAGAATGAGAGGTCTAGTCCTGTTAGCTACAACTCACAGTCATTTTTTACTGAACAGATGAATGCTTTGAAAATGACATCTTGAAAAATGTTAGCACTTTGGTGTTGAGGTTGCCGAAATAATATAATTTGACTTTTGACAGAAGTTGCCTTGGGAGAGATTATTCATCTAATTTCACCTAAAGTTACTGGAACACTATGATGGTGATATGAAGAACAAATATGGGGTGAGATAAAGAAGGATGTCTAAATAGACAACATCCCTTAGGAGTGATAGCTAACCACCAGGTGACTTCAGGTATTACTTAAAGAGAGGAAACCTATTTGCTTGTATTGGAAGGCATGCGACATGTATAGACTGGAGAGTAGTACTCTTATTTTCATGTGTTTCACCTTTATTAAGAAGCTATATATGGCAGGCAAAAAAATAAAACACACATACTTGCCCCAGAATGGGGGGGAAATTAGAACATTCAGAAAAGAACAATGAATATGATTAAAGAAATGCACATTATTAAGGAAATTAAGGATTTTAAGCTTTTAGGAAAAAAGACCAAGAAGTGACTTTTAATCTCTCAATTTTATGGACTAAAAGTGACTGTTACTCATGCATGATTGACTATTGAAGAAAGGAAAACTAGAACATGAATTAAAAGAAGAGGATGGATTTGTGAGAACTCTTAATGTAAGAATTATGTTGTAAGGATCTATTGAGGAAGATCATGTAGTGCTTATCCCTGGATATTTTCAAGAAGAGACATAAGTCTTCAGGCAGAATCTGTTTCTGAGAGGTGGAGGGCTCACCCTGGTGATCAGTCAGTGTTCCGTGATTTAATAGTACCCTGCCTTCATACATAATCTTTTGGAAGCTGGAAAGTTACTGATAAACCAACCTATATGGGTAGTATCTGGTTTCACAACCAGTCTCCACTCGAGGCCCACT